AGCCTGTGCTTTTGGCCACGTCCAACCAGGGGAGGGCCCTCCCCCTCCGGCACCGCAGCGCCCGCGCTCCCGGAGCATGGCCCCCCCTGCCCCTGCCCCTCCGCCGCGGCTGCAGCTGCCGCGGACCCCGAGCGTCTGACTCCAGACGGAGGCGGCGCATCTCCGGGAGCCACCGCCACCGGCATCGCCTCGGAGCGGCCCCGGGGGAGCGGGGCTGGCCGGGGCCCCTCGCCCCCGCGGGCCCGGAGCGGGGCTCGGCTTAGGCACCGACTGCCGCCGAGCAGCCTTACGGGCTTGCTGCCTGCCGTGCTTGCTTGGATGAGTCTGCGACATGCCTAATAAGAGACGAGATGGGCCAGGGCGACGAGAGCGACCGCATTGTGATCAACGTGGGAGGGACTAGGCACCAGACTTACCGCAGCACCCTGCGCACCCTGCCCGGCACGCGGCTGGCCTGGATCGCTGAGCCCGATGCCCACAGCCACTTCGACTATGACCCCCGCACGGATGAGTTTTTCTTCGACCGGCACCCGGGCGTCTTCGCCCACATCCTGAATTACTACCGCACTGGCAAGCTGCACTGCCCCGCGGACGTGTGCGGGCCCCTGTATGAGGAGGAGCTGGCCTTCTGGGGCATCGATGAGACCGATGTGGAGCCCTGCTGTTGGATGACCTACCGGCAGCACCGCGACGCCGAAGAGGCTCTGGACAGCTTTGGTGGGGCGCCCCTGGATAGCAGTGCTGAGGACGGAGACATAGATGGCACCGGAGACTCTGGTGATGGTGAAGATGAGCTGGAGATGACAAAACGCCTAGCACTTAGTGACTCCCCAGATGGCAGGTCTGGGGGCTTCTGGAGACGGTGGCAGCCCCGCATCTGGGCGCTCTTTGAGGATCCCTACTCCTCCAGATATGCAAGGGTAAGCTATGCAATCAGCACCCTCATCAAAACACTCGAACGTCCCTGCAGTCCCACTTTCTCCCAGCATCATCAGGGTTATCTCCACTGTCAGAGCAGAGCAGCCATGTGTGTGGCCATACAAAAATCATGCAGGGGCTACAGGGATGTAACCCACGCTCTCAAGCAGGCCTCATGCATGGGGCACGAGTGGACACCAAGGCATGAGCTTGTGTACTCATATGTGGGCTTCCAGAGACCCTTATTTTCTAATAGGCTCCTAAAACTCCACAGTTTGGGGCAGGGTCCCATTCATGGGCCAGGGAGATCTCCATTATACCAGGTAATTTCCCTCTATGCATAGATTTTTACAGTCAGTCATCCCTTAGTAAAGAGAGACACCTTGTCAAGCCCTCTTATGAGCTAATGGCTAATCCCTAATCCCTTTATGAGATGGAGAAATGATCATGAGAGCAGGCAGTCTCTGGGGGACCAGGGGATTTGGAGAGTTTCTCAGCTTGGACTGGAAAGGAAGTCTGTTCATTTCTCTTATACATACCAAGTTAAATATTTATGATCATGCTTCTCTGCGAATGGGTAATTCAGTTGCCCACTTACCTTCTCGCTCTGTCGTTTTCCCTTGTGGGAAATGCAAAGTATTAATCAGAGGAGAAGGTTTCGTTGATGTTGAAGGGACACTGTTTGACAGCTTTCTTGCTTGGTACTGAAGGACAACTCCTCCCCTCGTGGTGCCTGCGGTTGTTTTGGAAAGGGAATGCACACTGGTGTGGTTCACAGCATAGCTGTGGATAAAGATGGTCTGTAACAGTCGCCCGACTCCTTTAAGTAGACACCTTTCGTGCTATGACATATGAAGATAATTAAATTAATTAGGGCCCGATTCTGCTCCTGAAATCAAAAGTAATGAAAACATTTACTTCAGAAACAGTAGTAGGATTAACCCCCAAGATACCCATATTGATTAAGCAGGAAAACAGATGAAGGATAGTGCCTTCACAAAGAAATTGGCTTGCATAGGTTTTATTCCTCCCTTAGATGTACCTTTGTTGCAGCTTAATTGTTGCCAGCCCTCGGTAGGGATGAGTGGTGCTTTGGTGGGGGAGGATGATCAGTGTTCCTGAGGAGGATCAAAGTGAGATCAGATTAGGGAGCAAACTGGATGGGATGGAGGAAAGAGAAGTGGAAATGCAGGGAGCAGGGAGAGGGGAGCTGGTCATGTATGAATAGGTGGTGAATAGCACTTGCTGGAGACTTTCCGTCTGAGCAGAGATCTCCAGCAGGGAGACGCCAGGTTTGCAAACTGAATGAATGGGGAAAGCTGGAGCAGAGCCTGGAGTTACATCTTGCTGCATTTCTAAAGATTCTTTTTTGCGTATCCTTTGGAGACTTCTTCCCTGAACAAAGAAGTTCATATCTTAAATGAATTTCTTTAAACAGCATGGGCGATAAAGCAATAATAAAATATTTACCATAAGAGGAAAAGATGTTGCTGTTGTATTGCAGCTTTCAAAGCCCCAATTTCTGCCAAAGGAACATGGAAACAGAAAGGGAAGGCTGACGGGTATCCTTCAAAATGCTTGGTTTCCATTAATCAAGCCCAGTGTTAGCAGGCATTTATTTGAGTAGCAGATTTCTCTGGTACCCAGGAATCTGTTGGTAAAATACATTTTAAGTCAAAGCTGTGTGCTTGTCCAAGATTTTGTGGAGTGGTTCAAAAGTCAAAGGGATAATGTTGTCCCAAGGAAAAGGATACAGAGGCTAAAACACCCTCTAGCTCGGAGGCATTATGATATTTTAGGTGGAAAGACAAAAATCTATAACCAATATTAGGAGTCTTTGTGATGCACAAACTGGAATTCTAGGAGGATATAGATTCCATTTTCTAATTCTCTAAGGGTATTTTCATTTAGCAGTAGGTGTTTTACAAAGTGATTTGGGTTTGTTTGTTTGGGGTTTTTTTTTGCAGTGGATTAAATGGATAAATATACCATTTATTCACAATCACATGTGCATACCTGTTAGAATTTTCAGCTTCTGATTGATCTCTAACTTGTTATTTCCTTAAAGGATTGTTAAACTAGATAAATATTTATTCTGGGCAAAGTGTATATTTTGTGGGTTAAATATGATTCTTTAACTTGTATCTATGGAGACGTAGGCCATATGCATTAATATTTTGCATGAAAGAAGATGGCTTTCATCATCAACACATGCACACACTGTCCATTAAGACGACATTATAAGACACTTAACATTTTCTAATAAAAGCCATATGTTATGGTTATGGATGTAAAAAGAGATGGGAGTTTGATTTATTGTCCTGTAACCTAACACAGACATTGCAAAAAGACCTCAAACTCACAATAGCTAATTTACAGTAAAATAATTGATAGCATCATTAACAAGTGAATGGTATATTAAAACAATCATTATTAGAGTCAGGCAACAAATCCACTGTTACCTCACTTTTAATGGTGTATGCTACTTTCAGTTACAAACTGTATTTCAGTTATGCAAAAATCTAAATTCACATGGCCATTTTGTCCACAAAAAAAAAATCACAAAAAATTCCCTTCTTAAATGAAATTGATACGTGTACTAAGGGTGGTTATTATATACGTTTGGTGTTTACATATGGCACCAAAATGCATGTCAAAATAACATCTTAATGTAAGCATTAGTTTACATAACCATTATACTGTTACACTTGGGCAGGTAAAAGGAATACAGTCAATGAATATAAAGACTAAATGAAAACCTGCATATCTGTATAAACCAAGATTTCTCTGTGCTCTATCTGGTAAGCTAATTCAGTGAATGCTTGGGAACTGTCTATGAAAAGCTCAGCATTTACTCAAATCCAGCCATTCTTGGAGGATTTTGATGGACACTGCTTGCAAATACAAGTACATTTGACTGTTTTGCTTCACCCGCACCTGACTCATACTAAATTACATCTGATCTCATTGTAGACAGCCAGGGAAGACTGGAAGTGCACTTGTGTATGTCAGGCAAAATCAGCTAACTCTGCAAATTTTGTTTACTTCTAAACGTACTTTGATAAAGCAAAGCTCCCGGTCACTAATCTTTTGTCTTTTGGTGCAACATAGTCAACAGCTTCTTGTTAAAACAATAGGGGCTGATTTTAATTAAATTCTAGTTTTCTATACACTAATTTCTTTAAAAATTTAGTTATTTCTAAAAAAATTGAACACTTCCAAAAAATTGCATCATATTCTATATCTGTAATAAGAAAAGGTAGCTTGTTTCAAATCACAGATTTCCTTAGACACCTACCTTAGTAAGATAAAGGTGTTGTACTTCTTGTAAACTTAAAGAATCCACATTTGGGTACCAGAGGCAAAGTCGGGTTCCTGGAGGTCTGAACAGAGTAACAGACAAGGTGATGGAAAAGATCTGATTTGTAGAAATACTGAGTGTGTATGTAGATAGGCAGGCATCCAGGAGTATTGTCAAAAGCATCTGATCAGGCAGCTGAATATCACTGCATGTCAATGGATATTGTGCACCTAAATTGGCGAGACATTTCTTTAAAGCTCATTAGAACTGTCTTTTTTACATCATCAGACAACTCTGCAAATTTATTTTTCATAAGGGGGTGCAAAGGGGGAAATAGAGTCCCACAGAAAGCTACAGAAGTACACTAAAGCAGCATATCCGAGAGTTCCATTGTAGTAGAGTTCCTGCCCTCTGCACTTACTAGACTTCATTGGTCCTAAGTACACAAATGTGTGAAAAATACTTTCTTGTCATCCTCTCTCCTTTATATTTATGTCTGGTCATGCTATTCTTCCACTAGCAAAGCTCCCACTGACTTCCTGGGGAGTTTGGCAGGCAGGTATCTAACATATTTGTCCCCCTTCCTCCTCCTCCTCCCCAGCAGGATAAGGTTGTGTTTGTGTTAATTCATATTCTTTGGGTTACTCAGTGTTTGGGAACAAGGAGCTTTCAGCTGAGATTCTGCGCTAGTGCTCACATACAAATTGGACAGTTAAACTTCATTAATGAACCCTCGGGAAAGCTTTTGTAGTCCTTCCAAATAAAAATTTTTACTGTTTTTAAATAAAAGCTGGTAGGGGTCCTATGGAAAGTCCTCAACAGCTTGACTTGCTATCCTGGCATATGCTATACCGCTTTGATCTGCAAGAGGAAAAGCAAAACTCTCACTCACCCTTCCCTCATGTTTTCCCTTCACATCCTGCAGAAGAATCTGCTTTCCTCAGTGGGTGATTTTTGAAGGACAAGTTTCTGACACTGAGAAGGAGACAGGCAAAAGTGGTAAAGAGATGAGAAAAAGGTATTTCCCAAGGATTTCTTACTGCTTTCTTTTGTACGTTCAAGAGCATTTCAACCATGCTATGTTCATTTAAACTGATTTTTCTCTCTATAAACTACAACCCATAGGCATGAGAAAGTTTATGGGATCCTAGTTCCTGAATAACCATACTGTCTTGAGGATTAGAGGCTGGGGTGATTCTGCTCATTCTTTACTCCTGCCCAGGACAGCTAAGCTCAGGAATTGAGGGAAGTATCAGGGAGAGGGAATAGATACTCACCATCCTTCACAAGGGTAGCTTATTCCACAGCCATCTGATGCAGGACACATTTCGCACAGGAGCGTTCCACAGACAGTGGTCTGAGGTCTCCCACCAAAGGTGAGCAGAGAGGGAAAGGATGAGACTTGCCCCACACGCTTTCCTCTACCCACGGGACCCCTTCTTCCTCAGGGACAGATCGCATCAAAGGCACCCTAATGGAGCTGCTCTCCCACCCTGGGCCCTTCTGGAAGGTCTCTCCTGCAGAGGCATATCTAATCCTGCACTGAAGCTGGCTGCAGGAATTCTCACCATATACTTTGACAATTAACGAGACAGCCTAATTTTAACTGCACGCTGCATTACAGCTCTGGAAAAATGAGAATCTTTCAACGTTAAATGAGGTTTCCCTTGCACTTCTAGTATAATGGAATTACAGACATCT